GCTTTCCAATTAAGATGGACACTGGTGCTCTACAACCTTGCCATGGCCTGTCTCAATGCTTACATTGCCATTCAGGTCGGTATCACTTCCTCTGCCACACAAGAAAATATCTCGGGGAACATTTAGCGTTTTTACTTACTTCTATTTATCCACTTTCACTGGAAAGCGCGTTTCCGTCATCACTTCATTGATATTTATACTTGATGTTCTTTACAGTTGTTTGTAGCCTCTACAAGATTACGGTATAGTTATGTGTGTCAGCCAATAAGGCACATCACGCGTCCCGATGAACTTCAGGTGAGCGAACTTATTTTTCTTTTTTTTCATTGATAATGGAAAAAATTTAAAAGAATAATCTCTTTAGCAAACTTATCTTGTTCAAGTATGATCTACTCCTATGTTTAAGAGATTTTGGAAAACTCTAACGCGTGTTATGTTTAGATCGTCCACGCAGTTTGGTGGTACTACTTCAGCAAGCTTCTGGAATTCTGTGACACGTTCTTCTTCATTTTACGGAAGAAGGACAACCAATTGAGCTTCCTCCACGTCTACCACCACTCTACCATGTTTTCATTATGGTGGATCGGTATCAAATGGGTACCGAGTGGATCCAGTAAGTTTGCGAGCTTCTTTGTCATTTTTTCTTTCTTAAAAGAGTTGCTCTAAACGGCAAAAAAAATATTTCTTAAAATTTTTTTTTTTAATTTGTAAAAGGATATTGTTTCAAAGTTTTTGTCTATAATTGGAAAACGTATTAAATACAAAATAATATTTTTATTTTACAAAAATAGTTAATAATTTTTAATAACTTTTGTGATATCTATAAATGAGCGTAAGGTAAAAAGATCAGAATATTTTTACGACGTTAAAAGGTTTTCTTCCGTGGATTAAACCAGAATAAATAAAGAATTAATGTTATAATCTACTCTCAATGTTACGAAATATGGAAATTAAATAATTCTTTGAATTAACAAAATAATGACGTTTTAAAAACAGAAAACGATTTTTCTCTTAAAATAAGCTAAGAGAAACTACTAAATTAAAAAAATTATATTTATTTGTTTAATTATGATTATATTTGATGAATATTTGGTTAAAATATTTGGTATTAAAATATATAAATAAAAAATTGTTTGGTTGCTGTATACAAATATCTTTTTTATTTACATTTTGTATCTATAACTTTTGTCATAGCAATCAAAAAGCGTTAGCAAAATGAATAACAAATTTATTGTAACCTCTTAAATAATGAATTAATGGAAGGAAAGAACTTGTTTCAAGATGTAGTCAAACATATGAAAGTCGCGACATGTCTCGTTCGCGTGTGAAGAATGTTGGTCATTTTCTTTTACACGTGTATATGCGTTCGCAGCTTTCCTGCCTGCAATGGTAAACAGCTTTATCCACGTGCTGATGTATTCGTACTATGGACTCGCCGCGTTAGGTCCTTCAGTGACCAAGTACCTCTGGTGGAAGAAATACTTGACGATTCTCCAGCTCATTCAGTTCACTACTGCCTTAATTTTGGGCATTAACGGTATCCGATCGGGATGCGAATTCCCTATCTGGATGCAGTATGCTCTCGTAATCTACATGCTTTCCTTCATCGTCCTATTCGGAAATTTCTACGCCAAAGCTTACATCGCAAAGGTCAGTTCGAATTTTATTCCCGCGTATAAACGGCGTACGACGAGAAAAAATACTTGTATGTTTGTGGGATATAAAATTTATTTGTGTTCTGAAATAAAGTTTACTTCTGCGAAATAAATTTTTATCCCACAGATAAATTTTTATGTATACTTTTCCCTGTGTAAAGGCTCTTTTGCATAGAAAAAACATTAAGTTGAATTCATCAAATTTCTGGTGAAATATGAACAAACCAAAAATTCTGGTAAAAGTTAGAAAAATTCTGCTCAATTTGGCAAAACTTGAATAGAATTTTAACAGCTTTAATCGGAATTTCTGATTCGTTCATATTTTATTAGGAGTTTGATTAATCTAAACATTTGATTAATCTAATCAATTTTTTTTGTGTATATCTATTATAATGTGACTAGATTGTGATTAAGGTTTTCAATTTCCGGCTAAATTTACGTTGCCAAAAATATTCGAGGTTCAACATCGCACATCTCGAGATTTCGAGATTGCAAAATTCAATGCTTAGTATCTATATAATATATGAAATTTTTACTTTAATAATTATTTATTATTTCTGAGATTGTTTTCCCAAAATAAAAAGAAGGAATAAAAATTATTTTTATTTTTATTACAAAAGCTTCAATTTTTAGTTATGACATTTTTAACAAAGTTTATACTTTATTATTTCTGAGGTCGTTTTTCTGAAATGAAAAGAAGGAATGAAAATTATCTCTATTTTCATTTTTCACAAAAGCTTCAGATTTTAATTATAATGTTTTTTTTTTAACAAAGTCATGTATCAGTATTTTAATATAAGTTGTTTTTTTCTATTTTTACTGAAATTTTATTTTTTGTTTTTAATGATATTCATAAAACTATGAATGTCCTATAAATAAAATAATTCTATCATTCTATAAATATTATTTGTATTTTTTTATATGTATATAATTCCAGAACTAGTCTCATGATTCCGGGATCGAATCTAAAATATCCCGAAATCCCGGGATTCTAAATTATACCTGAGATTGGAAAATCTAGTCGTAACACTTGTTGTGATGACGAATGTAAACTCATAATGCGAATTTCTTTGTAATTAAATTGCATTAATAAAAAATCGTAATTCTTAGTTTCAAAACGATTTGAACACTTCTCCTCGAAGCATTCGGAACACAACTTGGTGCTCCAATAAAAGGATTAATTTCGGGAAATAATCGAAGATAAATACATTGTCACAATGAACCCAATTATATCAGTTTATAATTGCCGTTCTTATTTTTGCAGGGTAAACAAGTATACGCGGAGAAGCGGCTGGAGAGGATAAGGGCTGCCACTGAAGCAGCGGCATTGAATGCGAAGGACGACAGCACGCTCAGCAATGGAATTGTTACAAACGGATACACGAATGGTTACACGAACGGAGTGTCTAAGAAGAGTCAATGAGGCCCTCTCTGATGAGTCTCTCCGTCGACGTTAGCCCGATGTAAACGACACTCGCGCAACGCAGAACAAAAAAAAAAATAGTCACGGACATTAGTAACAGATATATAATTGACGTCAAAGATTGCGTCGCGATCGATAGCGACGAACGTCGAGAGGTAGTTCACCGTAAGACGAGAGAAAACAACAAGGAGACAAAAAAGGAAGAATAAAAGAAAGAAGGAAGGGAAACAACAACAATAATGGGAACGAGAAATAGAATATCGTTTAGACCACTCGGCGTACTACACTTGCTTGCGAAACGATTTGAATAAATTGATATATTAGTTCACAGACGTGTCAAATACGAATAACAAGACTTTTCAGGGAAAACCTTTGAATGTTTATAACTTTGTAATAGAAAACGTATAGACCACGTTTTTAAATAGAAGTCACTTGACATATCTGTGAACTAAGTATTGATGTTTCGATAATGTTTGATTTGTTTCCAATGAAATTAGAATGACATGAAATGTTACAATTACGAGGCACTGCTTACAGGCTTGCGTAAGCGGTTATGACAGTAGCCGAAGTGACAGTGCACGGTGCAAATATTTGTCATATCCTTATTTGATAGGAATGAAATGAAGATAAGATAACTATGCTTAAAAGATTTGATGAAATTACATAAGAAACATCTAGGCAACTGAATTGTGTTTTTGATCAAAAATGCTCAAATTGTATAGAAAGATTAATGTATTTAAATAAATATTTAATCGTTAAAAATGAGTTACGCGATATAAAATGAAAAAAATTTATAACTTTTTTACGTGAGCTAAAAAGTGAGAAACTGAAATTTCCGACAGATATGATGTTCAGATAAAGTCATTTATTATTCCAATGAAATTTCTATATATTTCTATCGATCTTTATCGATTTTTTAAATAGACCACACTTGCTGGATACTTTAGCATCCCTCTTAGTTATTGGCACTCTAAAACCCAGTTTTTCTTGCGATCATCAATGTCTATTTACAGTTTTAGTGAAAATCTCTTTTGGAATCATAGAATGCACTATAATACCAAAACAGCTTTTCTAAAGTGCTATTGATTAAGAGAGACATCAATAATTGTATGGTTTATTTCATTTATGCTTTTCCTGAATCCTCTGCAGATATGATTGTCGGATATATCATCTATTGGCTACGTTCAGCGAACACGATTGATTGCTCGGCTTTTAGAAAATGTGATAGCTGATTCTAAGAATATACATCAATTACAGTTAAGTTTTACTCAATCGTTGTGTTCGCTGAACGCAATTTTTATCACTTCGGCTTCTATCTAACAAATCCTCCATAATGGATTACCGCGCAGACTCATAAGTAGTGGCTCGTAATCATGATTATTTAACGAGCTTCTATCATCATCGAAGAAAAATGTGTTCAAACAGTTTGGCAAACTGATGTACACGTCGGGTTTACGCTGGCTGAAACAAATCGCGAACGTCGCGTTCGATATCGGGATGACGTAATCGATCCAAGGATCGATGTAAAAGGAGAAACCGGATGATCGTCGACATAATCCTAAGCTTATCGATCTGCGTTTCATCCTATTATCGGCTCCAACGACTGTACATCCGCTGTACATCACCACGCTGATTCCAGCGACTGTACATATTAACGAATGAAAGGTAGTTTAGACTTGAGTACATTTCGTAGTGAATAGCGCGGCGACGTCTGCAGGACCGATTCGCGTATTTCGGGCTTTGAAGCGGAAATTTTCGCGACTGACCAATTTAAGAAACACATTTTACACTAAATCCCGTTTTATACCAAGTCCTGTTTCGCCGTTTGTCCCAATAATGAAACTTGGTAGATTGAGAGAACTTAAAAGGGAAAGTTAGAGATTTCCCTAAAAAAGTGGACCTTATAGAACAAGACCCGAAGTACTTTGGAAATGATCCTGCGAGTCTACCGATTTAAATTGGATGGATACAAAGCAAAAACTATTAACGAAAGATCGTCTTTCCTTTTTATTTACCGTATTAAGATCGGAATTACATTCACTTTATCTAAAAGGATAAAACGTCCTGCTCGATAAGAGAGAGATAGGGTAGAGAGAGAGGGAGCAGAGAGAGAGAACCAATCGCAATATATCTGATAACATTAAATTGTTCGCAATAAGGCACGTTTTTCTGTTATGCACATGTTTGAAAATCGATTTAGTTAACCTGTCGTTCGAAAAGTGAGGTCTGAGAGATCCCATAAGATATTTCATATCATTTTCTTTGAATCTTTGTAATATCTTCCGAATTTTTTTTTTGTTAGCTGTTATTGAATCTTAATATTCCAATTATGGGAGATATATATTATAAGATTTGAAAAATTATGAAAATATAATTAAGAAAAACGAAGAAAAATCTACCAGATCATCTTTTCAATGACGGGTTAAATCTCGCGAGTGTTATTACGCTGTGTTATGTCGAATAATTTTACGCGTACTAATGTTTAAGGACCGATCTTTCAATGGAAATTTAAATTCAAACTTAAAACTCCTGATTACTCATCTTTATTCATTACGCGTTTAATTGATAATTAATATAAGCCAATTTAATTAGAGACAGTTTAATTGACAATTGACTTCAACAAATTCAATTGAAGACCGTTCAATTGACGATTGATGTGACTGGAAGGAATGAAAGATCGTTCAAACAACGACTGAACTTAGCAAATTTAATTAAAGGCCGTTTAATTGATAATTGAGTTTAGTGGATTTAATTAAAGGTCGTTCAATTGGCGATAGATACGAACCAATTCAATCGATTCAATCAAAGATTGTTCACGGACGATTGATACAATCAGTGGCCCCATCGACGCGGGTTTTACTTAACGCTTTATCATCATCTTTCACGATATGCTTCGATGCCCCGGATTATGAATATTATTCATAAGACCAACTGTAACCTTGGGTAATCAAACGCTTTTGGATTGAATCGATTGAATTTGCTTACATCATACGTTCTTTCACTAAATTTGTTAAGTACAATTGTCAATTGAATGATCTTTAATTGAATTTGTTGAAATCAAACGGCAATTAAACATTCTTCGATCAATTTTGTTCAGTCCTCTAGTTAAATTGAAATATGTCTATTTAAATAAATTATTAAATCGAGGAAAAATTTAATCAATATTTTTATAATCCTGGTTTAAAATATTATTGAAAAATCGGCCCTAAAAGTCACAATCGGAATCAGCCTATGCATAAATACTTTTCAATCAATTTGCTCACAGCAACGAGAGATCGGCGATGTATCGAGATGCGCACGCGCATATGTGTGTGTGTGTGTGTGTGTGTTTATGTATGTGTGTGTGTACGCGCTTATGTTAAACAGTTAAAGCATATTCGAATATCATCGACAGATCTCTATTAGTTTCCAAACGATGTATGTAAACAAACGGAGAAGTATGAAACAGTTAGACAGAGATTTTGATACAGACACTTTTTTACGGCAAATAGTACACGTGTGTACAAACGAGACGCGCAAACATTTAAAGTGTCTTCGTCGAGATGACAGTAGTATGACAGAAGTACGACGGCAGTTAGGGAATGGCATTTGATGGGGACAACACAAGAGTCTGGCAGAAAACTAGACGACCGTTTGTCGTGATTGTTCTACAATGTACAAGCGTGAATCACGAGTCCGCTTCATCCGGCATAGTCGTATTTTTACTCGGAAATATCGTAAGAACAGACAGTAACTAGCCCATAGTAATCACAAAATTATTTCGCTATTCGCGACGATGGATCCGATCGCGAATTATTCGATCGAATCATATGATTTCCTCCTGATATATCTCTAAAACTCTTAGATAATTGTCTTCATTGTTAATATGTTTATTATTATTATTATTATCACGCTGGAGGCGGATAACACGATTGTTATAACAACGGCATTGTTGAGCAATGCGCGTAAGAAAGAAAAAAAAGAAAGAAATGCATTATGTTAATTATTCACCATTTTTACATTTAATTATTCTTTCGGTATCGAGTCTTCTGTAATTTTATTTTGAGGACTTTTGTAATCAAGCGTCAAACGTTGTATCTTAATTTTATTCAATTGTTATTTATTTGTATACACATTTTTTGAGGATTATGAAAACCGCATTAGTTTACACAAGCAATTAATAATCACGAGCTAACATGCTGCAAAAATTGCGTTAAATACGTGTGGCAAATATTACACAAATAAATGCAATTAATTATACTATAATTATAGCATAATAATGTGCAGATAACGGACGAAGGTTGAATATTAAGAAAAGGTTAGACAGCTTTCGATATACGAGAGAAAAAAAAAGAAAAGAAAAAGGAAAGAGAGAATATACGTATGTGTGAGTGAGTGCGTGTGTACGAATGAAATACATCTTTAATTCTATCGATGGCTTTGCTTTCATTATATTTATTAATCCAGCATTCATACTTTTACATAATATATATAAAATAATCTATAGTTCGAGAAGATTTTTTTTTGACTTTGTGCATAGACGACTTTATCAGGTGTACGGCTGCTATTTACATACGCGCATTATTCTTCTTTATATTATAAATAACATTGTTTCACAGAGTTTGCGCAGTCAGTGACGTTAACCGCGACTCCTGAGAATCGCCAGAGCCAACCATACGGAGCACGTTTTTCCGACGTAGCGTTGCAGGTGGCAAACTAGCGCGAATTCGACGGGACCCGTGATGTCGCGCACTTTCGTAGCAGCTATTTGCTTGGTCAATTCGTCGAGACTGATCTGGCGCAGGTTCAAGAGAAAACCATGCGTGTGATAAGCCCTGTATAACTGCTTGAGATCCCTCTTGTCCAACTGGTGTCCCACGTCGTTCGGTATGCTGGAAATGAAGCCTCGCAGAACAGCGACTGCGTGACGATTAAACACCGTCGTTAGACCGAGAGCACTGCGCCAGCCGGACAGTTCGTCTCGCAAATGTTGCTCCATTTGCGCCGCGCTCTCCTTAGCTTGCACGTCCTCCTCGTCTGCAACGGCCAGTTCCAACGTCTGAACGGATCGATGGCTGGTCGACGTAGCGGCGATGGGCGCGAATGGCCGCCAATCTTTGCTAATCGTTACGTTGTATCTGAGATTGTGAGGTAGGATGGACTTCTGCAAGTTCTCCCATATCTAAAATACGAGACAATGTTCTTGAGAAACGAATGTATGTACAAAAAGTAAAATAGCAGGAAAACACTCTACACTCCGTAAAAATATCGCAAAAATTAAACTAATAGCACAAATATCTCAAATATATTTTATAAGAAACATTCGCGAAGTATCCCTCTGATTTCAATGAGGCTTGATATATTTATAGAATAGCCAAAACTAATAGATAGATATTTTCCTTTAGTGGTTGAGATGCAAGTTTAAAAAATGAAACTACGCTTTAAAGTTTCATTCCTTATTTGCTATCTCGATAACTATTAAAGATATAAAAAACTTTTCAGATAAACATGGCATGACTTTTATATAAAATAAACAGGCTGCGAACATATAAACAATAAAATGTATTAAATAATTATAAAACAGATTAATAAACAAACAAAATAGATTACATTTAATTTTTGATTTATTCAAATTGTCATAAAGACAAAAGAGAAAGCTTTTTCTTCTGAACTTATCCATATATATTATATATATTCTATATAATATATATTTCATATATATTATATATATTATCCATATATATTTTTCTGAACTTATCCATATATATTTTTACTTAAATTATACGGACAGAAAGATATATAAGCGTATATAACTTCGAGAGCATGTACACCTTATGCTTGGTAGCTTGAGGGAGCGCTTTACCGCTACATACGTTGTTAAGAGCTCGAGACTCACATTTTTAAATACTACATTCAACGTTGTTATTAAGCTATGTTAGACATTGTAAGTAAAAATAATTTATTAACACAAAAACTCCGCCGATTATTTTTTATTTGAAATATATTTTGATGCACTTTCCCATGCTTAGGCCCGGCCGACGAATCAATAACTACATAAAATACGTAAAATTATTTAAGTCCTTTAATTCTACTATCAACAAACTCATTGTAAAGATCTGCACAATCATGTAACAATATTCTTTCATATATATATATATATATATATATATATATATATATATATATATATATATATATAT